ACCAAGTACTGTTTTATTATGGCAGGGCTATGATTTCCCCAGTACTATAGATATTCTTATGTTTTGTAAGTATTATTACAGATTTCCTTTTATTTTGGATTCTGGAGTGGGGTTAAGGCTAATTCTTTTTTTAAAAAAAGATTTTATTATTCATGAGAGAACACAGAGAGAAAGGCAGAGACACAGGCAGAGGGAGAAGCAGGCTCCATGCAGGGAGCCCAACGTGGAACTCGATCCCGGGTCTCCAGGATCACTCCCTGGGCTGAAGGCGGCGCTAAACCACTGAGCTACCCGGGCTGCCCTAATTCTTATCTCTGTATCTGCGGCAATACTAATTCAGTAGGAGTTCCTTTCATCTTCTCCATATCTGTAGGATAGAACTTGCCACCTCCTGGATCATTTTAGTCCAAGATTTCATGCCTAATTGTCAGTAAGCAACCTAAGCTTTTGCTTACACAAACCACGACACCTTTCTTTTTTTTTATTTTTTATTTTTATTTATGATAGTCACACACAGAGAGAGAGAGAGAGAGAGAGAGGCAGAGACATAGGCAGAAGGAGAAGCAGGCTCCATGCACTGGGAGCCTGACGTGGGATTCGATCCCGGGTCTCCAGGATCGCGCCCTGGGCCAAAGGCAGGCGCCAAACCGCTGCGCCACCCAGGGATCCCCCCACGACACCTTTCAATCGACCCAGAGGCAGTTGGGCTGTACAATAAGAGGAGTTCCATAGTAGGCCTCGTTCCTCAGCCCATCCTTACATTAGTTTTTCTGTGAAGTAGGTGCCCGGGGAATACCGAAGCGAGCAATCCAGATTTCTAAGTCTCAAATAGTGGATTTTTTTTTTGGATTATTTTTTTATTATTTCTTCTGCAAAGAGAGAGTAATCTATGTGTCTATAATGGTGCATGCTTATAGCTTATTCTCTGCAACGGGTCAGGGTTCCATGGAATTGGTTTGTATAATTTGGAAAGGTTTGTTACCTTTGGCCTTACCTGGATGACTCCATGTCCTGCTGAATGAATGAATGAGTCCTCTAAGCTTCAACATGTTGATAATCCTCACGTTTCCTAATTTAAAATTGAGGCTACTTGGTAGTTATATCCGGGTTTCTTTTGTCCAACCACGTTCCAGTGCCACGTCCGCCAGCATGACCTGCTTGGTGAGGGGCCCACCCAATGATCCCGTCAGTCGGGATGCTGTGTGTCCGTGTTTTGTGTCTCGTTGCCCTTCTTGTTTAGATATGGCTATGCTTTGACTTGGTTTCCTCTGTAGCCACGAATCCTTGTGTTTTTTTCAGATAAATTATAGGAGTCTTGGCTTCTTGGGCTTTCTAGTGCGTTTGTCTACCTGGTTATCAAACTTGGCTACTTCAGACTTGACCTTCTGACGTGCACACACCTGCTTAATCACCATGGAGATGTCGTCCAGCGCTATTCCCTGCCAGATGTCCTTACTAGGCCTTCTATGTCGCAGTCCTTTCCTGCCATGGGCTGACCAAAGAGCTACTCATGTACCCACTGTCCTGGGCCCAATCTGCACATAGACGCCTCCTTCTGATTTTCCGAGCAGACTGTCCAGTGGCCAGTTGTGTGGCTACCAACTCAGTCTATCGCACTGATCGTCCTGAGCCTGCGTCTGTCCGACCAGCCCCAGTTCCCGAGGCCACCGAGTGGCAGCACACGCTGGACGCCAGCGGGGAGCCCTGTGCCCTGAAACCCTGCGTGTGGACTGCTGTGGACCAGGGAGTCCTCCGGCCACTGCCCAGGCTACGGCTGGAAATCCAGCTGGCATGGTTGGGGCTATTCGGGTCACACAGTGGACCCCCGGCTGCAGGCCCCACGCAGGTGGGTACCGGGTTGAGGTAACGGTTAATGCTCCAGAACGGGTCTCCTTTATTTGTCAGGGCTGTTTTCCCTGCTGCTGAAGGCCTGGTTGGAGTTTTCGTCTAAGTGGTTTCTCTCCTGTCCGTGGCTCTGTAGTTCCCGGGGCCTCTGGACGCCCAGGTGAGCCCCTCAACCGGCCCATACGTGTTGGCAGAACGTGGGACCTTCAGGGTAGAGCCCAGGTGCGTAAACCTGGAGGTTCTGTGGTGGTTCAGGCCACAGTGCTGCTGCTGCAACCTGGGGAGAGCCGGGCGCTGGGTTATACTCAGAGTCCTCGCTAGCTGGTGCCAACGTCTTACACGTTCTTACAGCATTTTTGAAATACATAGAGGCTGGGTCTCGAGTCTCTATCCATCTAAATTCCCTGCTCTTCCTCTTTAGTCCATAAATGCATTTTTTTATTTTTTTAAAGATTTTATTCATTTATTCATGAGAGAGAGAGAGAGAGAGAGAGATGCATAGATAGAGGCAGAGGGAGAAGCAGGCTCCACGCAGGGAGCCTGACGTGGGACTCGATCCCTGGTCTCCAGGATCAGGCCCTGGGCCGAAGGCAACACTAAACCGCTGAGCCACCCGGGCTGCCCTAAATGTGTTTGAAGATTGCCCCCCAGGGTGGTTGTGCTGTAGCCAATATCCAAACAGGCCTATCTGTCTCTGAGCTGCTGCTCTCGCGGTAGGAGCTGACCTGCAGCCATGCAGCTGACGACTGCGTGTGCTGTCCTCATGCCCCCAGAGGCCCGGATGGTGCCTGCAACGCCTACTGTGGCGTGGGGCTCTCTGGACCTCGCCTGGGTCAAGTTTCCATTTTCTGAGTGTAAGGAATCCAGTTAACCCTATTTTTCCCCGAGCCTGTTCCTTTTCCCCCGTTATCTGCATAGGTAAGGATGTCCTCAGCATAGGGAACAGTGGTCTGTCATCACAGGCCTGGGTGTCCGTGTTAGGAGGCGGTGGCTCTTCCCGGGCTGCTGAGGTGAGCCCGTGGTGGCCCAGCACACGGTATCGTCCGCCCTCCCGCGGGAACGCACTCGGGGGTTGGCTCTGCTCATCGCTGGACCAGCAGGGACCGTGTCCCGTAGTGTGTCACCGTGTCATGAAGTGTGCGTCCAGGGGTGATCGGGTTATGACCCTGCTATATCCCAGAGTGCTCCCTCGGTTGGGGACAGTGTGGAAGTCCCTACACCATCCTGGAAATCTCCATGGCCCGTCGGGCTTTAGCGGTGCACACTGGGTTACCAGGCAGTGCACTAGCAGGCACGCTCATTTGTTCCTTCGGGGGTTCCCGGAGGTTTCCCTGACTTGAGCACGTTCCATGACCTCCACGCCAGGAAGGTCTTCTGTGTGGGGGAACTATAAGGCGTTTAACCCCAGTGGGTGCTCTCTCATCTCTTGTTAGGAATCTGCACACCCATGTCCCGGAGGTTAATGCTCGTCCTGATCCCTCAGCTAGCACCCTTCCGGTGTTAGCTTTCCTTAGGTTCGTGGCCTGGCCTGGCCTCATCGTCGGGAGCCTCCATCTAACGACGTAGGAGCGTCTGTAGTCTTTTCACTTACAAAGGGGTTTCTATGGACTTGGCCAGAGTCACCCATGCGCCACTGTGGCCAGTGCGGGCCCGGAGGGCTCAGGGCTGTGTTCCACTTTAGCCATCAGTGACTTGTCTAGTCCTAGGATTAGGCTTTATCAAGGGGTTGGTGTTGACGGTTCGTGGGTTAATGGGTCTAGGTGTTTGTGTTCTCTTGGTCTATTTACACTGTTGGCTCTTTCCATTTCTCTGTGCTGTTGTAGTTTCCGGGGTGTCTATTTGGGTTTCTAGCTTTATAATGTTGTTCAAGTGACGTGGTCTGAATGGTTTATGTGCCCAGAGGGGCTCTAGCTGCAGGGCTCCATGGTCTGTCTATACTCGCAGAGGCCCGTCTGTCTACACACATGACTCTTCAGGGTAGAGCTCGTCTCCTGACTTCGTTCCTCAGCTGGTTTTACCAAGCCAGTCGGCTCTCCAGGGTCTCTGGCACCTGCACACACTGTAATAACGGCTGCCTGCTGGGGGTGGGGGGCAGCTTTTAGGATGACTTAAAATCTGGCCTGTGCCCCTGCCTGGCGGGGGGGGGGGGGGGCGTCTCCTTTGAGTCCGAGCCAGTGCCCTGCTTTCGTTAGTGTGGCCGTTCCCCGAAGGGCCGTGCAAGGAAGGGCCGTGCCACACAGGCCGCTTAGTGTCCCCGTGGCTGCTGCCCCGGCCACCAGGGGCCCTTGTGATTGAGGAGCAGCCCCTGCAGATGCTCAGAGGTCGCGAGCCCAACCTGCACAGTCTCTGCTCCGGTGAGGGTCGGGCCTGTCCTCCTTCGGGCCCTCACTCTCAGAGCCACTCGAGCGGGGTCCGGGTCCACTTCTGCTTTCGTCACTTCTTGCCCGTTACGTGTCTCCCTTCAGTCACTCTGATTGGTTCCATGGGAGCGTTTGTTATGGTTTTGTCTATTTTTGTGGGCCTAGCGCGTGGTAAGTTAGCTCCCGGGTGAGAAGGCTTAAAGTAGTCCTTGTCCTTAAGGCGTGGACGGTGCCCTCAGGAGCAGAGGGATCCGGGGTTCCTCCTACACTGGAGACACCACTTCTTGTGCTGGTACCTTTCTGCCTGTTGGCAGGGTACTTTGTGCTTCTAATAAGTGCACTGAAAAGGGGTTTTTATTGCTTTTTAAGAATATCGAGGCTGTAACTCACTGGGTTGGGGGATAGGCCAACATAACTTATAATTAAGGAGACTCCAGATGTTGACCTAAGTCCAGTCTGGACCTTCAATAGGTCCCTAGGGATCCTCAGAAAAATTTATTATAAACTATTTTACCCCTCAACCACCTCTGGTCAATTTTGTCAGGTTAGTAATTAAGGTATATTTACAGGTGACCTCTCCTGCCTTTCAGTGTTTTTCAAAATGTTTCTAATGGAGGCCTGATGATGGGGTTCATCTAGTGCAGATCAGGCCACAGTGGTGAGAGTAGCATAGAGTTTCCCTGTTACACAGAAAGTGTCGAGAGAAGCCTGGTCGCAGGAGTGGGGTTTGAGGGTAGAAGGCATCTGCCTAATTACAAGATCTAACCTATTTCAATGTTCGTGTTCTCCCTCAAGGCAGGGCCAGGGGAATGTGGCCTGTCTTACCAGCGCTAAATTGGGTGAACGGAGGAGGTACCTTTCACAGCCACAGAGGCCTAGGAACCCTACACACAGTAAGTACAATGGGGTCCACATTGCAGTGGCTGCCTCAGTGGTTTTGGGACAGTGGGCTCCCTTTACCCTAAAAATTTTGGTGGTTGGGGAGAGGCCCTAGCTCCATAGGCCTGGATGGCCCAAGCCGCCATGTACAGCTGACAGGGTGCACGCTGCTCCTGCAGGGGAGCGTGCTGGGGATAGCCAGGAATCTAGAGCAGGGCAAGCCCAGGTCACAGGAGGCACTATTGGGGATACCTGGCATTTGCCCAGTTCCAAGCCACAAGTTACACAAGTCACTCCCCCTGAAGGCAGAAGTGGAGGAAACTGGACCGACTATTGCTGGGGTTAGGCCAGTCTGACTGGGGTAGGTATCCTCCAGGGAGATACCTCTGAGATCCCGGATTACTGGTGATGCCACGGTCCTCATCAGGCAACCAGTCCAAATGCGGACTAGAGGCACTAGTTTAAAATATTCCCAAAGTGTCGGCTTTAAGTGATGGACGCCCACTGGGCAGGAGGTGATGCAGGTGGCTGGGGACCAGCCAGAGCTTCACTGGCCAATCCAGGCCCATGCTATGCAGCACAGGCCCTGGAGATCAGGGTAGCCAGAGAGCTGGAGCAGGGTGTCAGGAGAGTCCAGGTGTTTACAGTGGCATCTGCCTGCAGGACTCTGGCCTGCCTTGTCAGGATGTGGCCATTAGGAGAGGCCTGGGAGCCTTGGTTACTGGTTTGGGAAAAGAAAACATGAGAAAAAAAAAAAGTTTTATGATGTGCATACAGAAGCTCAAACACAAAATTGAGACCCAAAGCAATGACCAATGCAGGCAGGTTTCATATGTTTTAGACAAAGAAACCTAAATCTGCGAGGAATTTAGAGGATGAAGAAAACTTATATTAGTAAGGAATTCTAGACAGAACCTGGGCTGGGGTAATAAAGCAGTAAAAGTAACAAAGATTTGTATATTATAGGCTTCTCTGGCCCTGAATTCCCGGGCTCTGATTAAGAATGTCTACCTCTTGGTGCAGGATGGTACCTCTTTTTTTTCTTTCCTCCCCACTCCCCCCCCCCTTTATTTTTAATTTTCGAGAGAGAATGAGCATGTGTGTGCCCGTGGGGGGCGGGTGTGGGGGAGGAAGGTAATCTCCAGGAGACTATACAGAGGTTCGATCTCATGACCCTGAGATCATGACCCAAGCCAAAAGCAAGAGTCAGGCCAGCCCTGGGTCCTGATGGTTCCCTCTTCTGGAACTTTACTGGAAGGTTCACATACTGAGCCTGGAGAATTTTTCATCTTGTTGAATCGGTCTCAGTCCTGACAAGGACACAGTTCATTAAACTCAATTCAGGAGATGGTCTCACAGTTACGTTCCCTAAGTTAGGTCTATGGTTCAAGTAATCAAGTATTAAGTCATTTCTACAGAGATAAAGGGAAAATAATGGTTACTAATTGGAGCAAAGTATAAACCAGGTTCTCAGTTCTGAGGGTAACCAGTGGAGGTTTCTAGACGTTGGTTTCTAAGCAGCTCTGGACAAGGGCAGGCAGCCACAGTCAGATCTCTCTGGTTGCAGTGTAAATGTCCTGGCGATCTTTGTACTGGCCTCTGCGTGGTCACCCAAAGATTATCCATACAGAGGCTGTTGTGCTGATTTCTCTGGTCCCATGATGTCATTCATATTCAGCTTTCAATGCTTCAAAAAAAGGGGGGACATTTTATTTCTCAATGATTTCAAGTCCAAACAATGGGAGTTCATCAGAAGTGTTACTTTGGAAAGATGTAACCAGACATTTGAAAATCTGTAAGATTTCAGGCTCTACTTTCCAGGTAGGAAACAAAACCTCAAATACAAGTAACAAGAACTGGAATCCAGTATCTAAGAGTTCACTTAGTTTCACTTAAAACAATTTTTCTATAATCACTCCCATTTCTACCAATTATAACCACAGGAAGACTGGTTTGTTTGCAAATAAGGCCGGTTTCAGTGAATTTAGCTTGATTATGTAAGTGCAGTGAGTAGTAAGTGGTCATATAGGCTCTTTTAAGTCTGCTTTGCTGGAACTTTTCATAAGGCAGCACAGACTGAATTTTTAAGAGTCTCTTGAGGCTAAGAAATAAAATCATCATGCTTTGCCCTCAATACCTTCTGATTTGGGTTACCTTTTTTCTTATCAGAGTCCCCAAAATGTCCTGAGGTTCCCACACCTGCCTGGAAATGACCTTCTTTACCTACCTGGGAAGGATGTTGAAACCCCATAAGCAAGGTATCACACTGAGATTTCTAAGGTACTTTATTGGCTCCTTAAAGCTGTCTGGTCACATGTGAGCCTTTGCAGATCTCTCTTAACTATGACATTCCAGTCAAAACCTTAGTAATAAAAGGTTTTTATTAAAAACCTTCAGGTTTTTAAGACCTTTGGGTTTAAAAACCTTGGGACATAGTGCTCCCAACTATGTCCTAAGGAAAACAGATTCTTACTGACCATGAGTGATGTATCTCTGTGAGTAATTATGACTACTCACTGAGAGTTTCCAAATTCTGGGGGAATCAGGTAGAAGACAGATGTTTTCATTTTGCTTACAGATGTATAATTTATCAAATTTCTGTGGAAAGGCTTTCCTATATCTGGAAAAAAGATTTAAAAAAGAGCAGGATGTCAAACAAAAAGTCATAAAGATTATAATTTTCAGTTTATCGAGTCCTGTTTGTAGTTTCTGTTGATCTTGATCTTCTGTTAGTTTTATGAAGCCATGAGTTTCTCCATTCGTTCTCTAAATTCTTACTCAGTTCAATGGTATAATCTAAGTTATTAGAGACCTGTATTCTACAGTCATCAGTCTTTTCCTTGAATCTCCTTGATGATGAAGCACTTTTGCAGAAGCATCAAGGTAAAACAACTGTCTGTAAATGACAAAAAGACTTAGAAATGGTAATGGTTAAAGATCTGATTAGAATTCATTACAATGCAATTGACAAAGAAACTGGGTAATTTCTATGATGCTCAGCACTTCAAGATAATAATTAGAATTATATAACATAGAATTATACTATAATCCAGGATATATCAGCTTTCTAGGAGTTTCATGTAACTTCTAGCTTACTTATCTTAATCATATTTATGGAAATATAATCTAAGAAGGTTAGGCATCACCTATTTGACAATGATTCCCACGTAATTTAACGTACCAAATAAGCATAATTAACATCTTTCTTTTATGAGGAGAATTAATCCTTGAAATCTTGCAGGGATCCTGTGGGAAATTTCAAACTCAAAAACACTTGATTTTAGAATTTGATTTTGGGAGGTTTGTCAAAAAAAAAAGTTCAGACTTTTCATTAAACAGAATCACAGATTATAAAACAATGCTTGGTTATCCATTTAACTAAAGTGGCAAAGACTTCACAGGCAAATTTTTTTCTAAGTAATCAAGGACTTGAAGACAAAACACACCTTTTGTTTTTCTAAATAGATTATATTAAAAGTTAAAAACCTTTAAGAAACAGAGACAAAAAATGAATTTTAGTTTTGTTCTACCTTTTTATATTAAAACTCAAATCCAGCATAACCACACATTAAAATTCATTTTAAAGATTCCCTGTTTTACAAACCTTTCAAGGCTTTTTTTCCCCCTACATTTAGATTCTTACCTGTTTTTTTTCCTTTTTAAATAATTAGTCTCATTTTAGGATTAAAAAAACACATGTCCTACTTTTCTTTTTATTACATAATATCACATATTAATTATAATTTTAACCCTTAGAAACTTTATACTGAAAAATAATGAGCAATTAATTTACTTAATGCATCTTTAGATTGATGAATACATTCAGAATTGGCCAATCTCTAGAAATATGTGCTTCTTCATAACATAATCTTCCAATAAATAAAATCATAATCTTCCAATAGTTTTTTTTCCACAAAAAAAAACTTTACTAGAGATTAAGTTTATTTTATTGGGAGATAAGTTCATTGAATATCTAGATTAACTCCTCACTTAGCAAAGGTTTCAGGTTACCAAAAACACTGTAGGTAAAACTTTTAAAATAGTTTCTCCACAAAAACTTCACAAGATATCAGTCAGCCACTCTCAACTGTTTTGTTGTAGGAAAATTCTGTAACCTAATCAAACTTACAGGAAAGATGTCAGAGTAGGAAGATCCTAGGTTTACCTCATCCCATGGATACACCTAGATTATACCCACCTCCCTGTAAGTGTCCCAGAAAACCACCCAAGGACTGAAAGAACAGACTTTTCATAGTTAATCTCAGAGAAGAAGCCACATCGAGAATGCCTAAGTACATGGACCTCTGTAGGTTCCAGCCCAAACCCCACCCGCACTCTTTCCTATGAATATGCCCCATCTAGCCATACTGGGCAGGAGTTCCTCCAAAATGGCTCCAGGTATTTTCCCATAGGCAGATGGGTGCAAATCTTGCTTACATTGTGATTCCCACCCTTATCTTATCCTGCAAACTCTCCCATCCAATCTGCTCCACTTGGCAAGAGTCCATCCAAAGTGGCACCACAAGCAAAGCATTGTGCAAGCAGACCTGATTGTGGCCAGCACCACTCCACAGTGACTCCTGCTCTGGGGAAAGTGAAAATAACCACACACATTAGTTTGCAGCCCCAGCAGTGGGCTTGGAGCAGACATATGGTCTGACTGCAGGCCCTACTCACCAACAAAACCTCTCCGGGGACCATGCTGGGAGAACATGCTGCAGTTCAGTGCAACCACAGTTCTTGCAAATGAGCTGAGGGCGGCATCTGGTCTTGGTGGCCCCAGACTGGCCCCTTAACCATATAGTGACCAAAACCTGCCCATAAAAGGCAAAGAGCCATTGAAGACAACTGGACTGAAGTCAAACACATCTCACCTACAAAAGAAGGCTACACACAACACACATAGCCAATAACCCTGAAGCATTAGGTTCTGCTGCATAGGAGACATCACATTGCAGGGCACTTATAGGACCTCTTCTTCAGAGGCCACTAATTTCAAAAGCAAACATAGCTGACTTTCCTAACACATAGACACGGAAAGTTAGACAAAATGTGAAGACAGAGGAATATGTCCCAAATGAAAGAACAGAACAAACTCACAGCAAGAGAGCTAAACAAAATGGAGATAAGCAATAAGCCAAACAGAAAATTTAAAGTAATTGTCCTAAAGATACCCACTGGATTTGAGAAAAGAGTAGAGGATTTCAAAAAAAAATATTAGAAAGAACCACTCAGAGATGAACTCAACTGAAATTAACTAGTAGACAAGAGGATGCAGAAGAATTGATCAGTGACCTGAAGGACAGAGTAATAGAAAGCAACTAAATAGAATGGGAAAGAGAAAAAAGAATATTAGAAAATGAGAATAGGTTGAAGCAACACAGTGACACCATCAAGTATAATAACATTCACATTATAGAGATTCCAGAAGAAGAGAGAGAAAAGGGGGCAAAAAGTTTATTTTAAGAAATAAGAGCTGAAAACTTCCCTAATCTGGAGAAGAAAACAGAAATCCAGATCCAGGAGGCACAGAAAGCCCCCAACAAATACAACCTCATTTGGTCCACACCAGGACATAATAGTTAAAAATGGCAAAAAATTCTGATGAAGAATTTTAGAATTAGCAAGAGAAAACAGTTACATACAATGGAAACCCCACAAGACTATCCACTGACTTCAGGCATGATATACTCAAAATGCTAAAAGGGAAACATCTGTAGCCAAAAAATGATAGCTTTGCTGGATAGCATATAAGTATAGAAGTTTCCCTGACAAAAAAAAAAAAAGTTAAATTCATGAACACTAAACCAGACCTACAAGAAACGTTAAGGGGGATTCTTTGAGTGGAAAGGAAAGAACATAGGAAGAATAAGAAATAAGGGAAATTTTTCACAGGTACATATAAATATGATAAAAATAGTATATTAATCCCTTAAAAAACCAGTATGGAGGTTAAAGCATTACAGCAGTACAATCAAATATATCCATGAAAATCAGTCAAGGCATTCACAAAATAAAAGGATGTAAAGTATGAAAACATACCTAAAATGTGGGCTGGAGGGAATAAAAAATTTAGTGCTTTTAGAATGGGTTCAAACTTTAGCAACCATCAAGTTAATATAGACTGCCATATGCATAGGATATTATATATAAACCTAATGGTAACCACAAATCAAACCACAGACCTAATGGTAATCTGTCAGATATGCAAAAACTAAAAAGAAAGGAATTCAAGCATATCATGAAACCACAAGAAAGCAAGGAAAAAACAGGAACTACAAAAACAACCATAAAACAAGTAACAAAATGGCAATACTTCTTGATAATTATTTTGAATATAGGACTAAGCTACCTAATCAGAAAAATTGGGTGATAAATTGATTACATGGGAAGACCCATCTATATGCTGCCTACAAGAGACTCATTTCAGACCTAAAGACATATACAGATTGGAACGGAAGGGATGGAGAGCACTTATCATGCAAATGGAAGCGAAAAGAAAGCTGGAATAACAATACTTACATCAAACAAAATAGGCTTTAAAACAAAGACTGTAACAAGAGACAAAGAAGGATACCACATAATCATAAAAGGAACAGTTCAACAAGAAGGTATAACAATAGTAGGAGAGCCTAGGTGGCTCAGTTGGTTAGGCAGATGACTCAGTTTTGGCTCAGGTCATGATCTCAGGGTCCTGGGATCGAGCCCTGCATCAGGCTCTGCACTCAATGAGGAGTCTGTTTGAGGATTCTCTCCCTCTATCTCGCCCCATCTCTAAAATAAAATCTTTAAAAAAAAAAGGTATAACAATTGCAAATATTTATGCACCCAACATGGGAGTACCCAAATACATAAAACAGCTAATAACAAACATAATGGAAGAAATTAATAGTGATGTAATAATAGTAGTGGGTTTTAACACCACACTTTCATCAATGGATAGGTCACCCAGACCAAAAATCAACAAGGAAACAGTGGCTTTGAATGACAAATTGGACCAGAAGGATTTAACAAAATACTCAGCAAAATACACACACTTCCAGTGAACATGGAAAATGCTCCAGAATAAATCACATTAGGCCACAAAACAAGTCTCAAGAAATTAAAAAAAAATGAAATCATAACATGCATCTTTTCTGATCACAATTCTATGCAACCAAAATTCTGGAAATCATACAAATACATGGAAATTAAAATGCTACTAAACAGCAACTGTGTCAATGAAGACATCAAAGAAGAACTTTTAAAAAAATACATG